TCCCTGGGCCCCGCCCTCTTCCATTCATTGGATCTCAGTTCATTCACTCATGGAGGCTCAGCATCACATGTGGGCGTTACCTATGCAAATACACCCTGCCTAGGAACGCCCACTTCTCCAGACTGACACTCGTCGAAGCATTTTGATATATACATAGCTCCTCCCGAGGGGGGAGATAGTTGGTTTTATCTCAGCAGCCATCAGTGTAGTGTTGTCTATACCCGCTGAGATTGCGCCGGCAATATGAACCACTTTCCATTGTTTATGTTTGAGAGAACAAAGACGACCGACTGCGAGTGAATCTGATTGATTGGAAACCTCGATCAATATATTGGATTGAAGTTCGATGTGTGACACGGAAACAATAATTACCATTGAGCGGAAAATTGATCAAATTAAAAAGAAAAGTCCGAGAAGCGGACATTGAGCGATCGGCGGCGGCGGCGTGCCATGGATGGTCGATGGACAAGTGCGAATTCTTCATTTGTCTATTTTCCACTTTCGGCAGATACATTGAATCCGATGCGGTATCTGATATGTTGCAGAGCCGACGAGCACACGTATGACCGGCCTCGGCGGTCTCCGTTCACTTCTCGGCGCTGCGTCAATGTGCGCTATGTCGCGTGTTACATATCAATTTTAAATGAAAGGGCTGAAAACGCACCCAAACCGTACATGAACCTTTGTGCTAAAGAATCCATTAAAATGTTTGGGGGGGCGCCCTCACACACCGCACATCAGCGCACAAAGACGCACGCGCCGACGCATTTTACGTTAACGCATTTCAGATTTAAAAGGTTAAAAGAAAAAAGATTTCCTTCCCCCCGAATGAGATTCCGGAATCTCGGCTGTGACATCATCACCGGCGTCTTCCGGCCAGCCAGGGGTTAACACCTCTCAGCATACAATGTATCTTTCTATCTGCACATGTATGTTACAATGTATCTAGTGGCCAACTCTGCGCCTGACGCAGCGCCGCGCTAAATGCCGCCTGTTATGATAATTTGTTTGGGAGGAAGACGTGTCCGTGTGACGGGGGCGGCGCTCTGTTTGCCTTCATCTTTCTTTGTGCCAAATTGGCTTCGGCTTCAGTGGCGGTGGCTTGCGTGCGTCCGCGGCGTCCGGTAATGTGAGCGCACCTGACAGATCTCACATTGTGTAATTGGATGTACCGGAGCTGGCGGCACCTTCACCCATCTGTTCCCTTTCCAGCGCGGAGCCGGGCGTTGGCAGGATCGTCCGTCGTCCTCCCCTTCAGTCTTCTATCTGACCTCCATCCTCCCCTCCGGTCTTGCACAGTGGTACCGCCTCCTCTCCTCTTCCTCTGATGTCTCTGCACGCCGGGAGCTTCTCACAATGTACATTACAAGCTGCAGCAAGTCAGATAGATCCCGCCTCCTTTCCTGGCTGGAGGACGTCCAGCATCAACTAGCGCTTCCCTCCCCGGCCTGACTGTCCCTGCTCACCCCCTTTCATGTACTGGATTTCAGTTCGTGTTCACAAATGTCAGACACAGATCAGCCCCTGCTGCAGCCTCTCACATTGTGACTGGATACAAAGTTACAATGTTGCCGGCTGATCACTGGGGGAGGGGAGACTGAGGAAATGCCACGCACACTGTCAGTGATCTGTTTAGTGTCATGCGCTGTCCTTGTATTCTACAACTCGGCAATACAAAAATAAAATACAAATCATTCAAATCCATAAAAATAATGCCGACGGCAAAGGCAGAGAAGTGTGTGGTAGATCAGCAGTTACAAGATGTAGTAGGAGAGGAGGAAGCAGTGCTGGATCAGTACTCTGTACATAAGGTTTGGGAGGAAAGGTTTGGTGGTTTAGGTTTGGTGGTGAAGGTCTGGTGGTGAAGGTTTGGTGCTTAAGGGTTGTTCAGGAAGGTTTGGTGGAGAAGGTGTGGTGGTGAAGGTTTGGTGGAGAAGGTTTGGTGGTGAAGGTTTGGTGGAGAAGGTTTGGTGGTGAAGGTTTGGTGGAGAAGGTTTGGTGGAGAAGGTTTGGTGGGGAAGGTTTGGTGGAGAAGGTTTGGTGGGGAAGGTTTGGTGGGGAAGGTTTGATGGAGAAGGTTTGGTTGGGAAGGTTTGATGGAGAAGGTTTGGTGGTTAAGGTTTGGTGGGGAAGGTTTGATGGAGAAGGTTTGGTGGTTAAGGTTTGGTGGGGAAGGTTTGATGGAGAAGGTTTGGTGGTTAAGGTTTGGTGGTTAAGGTTTGGTGCTTAAGGGTTGTTCAGGAAGGTTTGGTGGTGAAGGTTTGGTGGTGAAGGTTTGGTGGAGAAGGTTTGGTGGAGACGGTTTTGCGGTGAAGGTTTGGTGGTTTAGGTCTGGTGGTGAAGGTTTGGTGCTTAAGGGTTGTTCAGGAAGGTTTGGTGGAGAAGGTTTGGTGGGGAAGGTTTGGTGGGGAAGGTTTGATGGAGAAGGTTTGGTGGTTAAGGTTTGGTGGGGAAGGTTTGGTGGTTAAGGTTTGGTGGGGAAGGTTTGGTGGGGAAGGTTTGGTGGGGAAGGTTTGGTGGTGAAGGTTTGGTGGAGATGGTTTGGTGGTTTAGGTTTTGCGGTGAAGGTTTGGTGGTTTAGGTCTGGTGGTGAAGGTTTGGTGCTTAAGGGTTGTTCAGGAAGGTTTGGTGGAGAAGGTTTGGTGGGGAAGGTTTGATGGAGAAGGTTTGGTGGTTAAGGTTTGGTGGGGAAGGTTTGGTGGTTAAGGTTTGGGAGGGAAGGTTTGGTGGTTAAGGTTTGGGAGGGAAGGTTTGGTGGTTAAAGTTTGGCGGAGAAGGTTTGGTGGTTAAGGTTTGGTGGTAAAGGTTTGGTGGGGAAGGTTTGCTGGGGAAGGTTCGGTAGAGAAGGTTTGGTAGAGAGAGTTTGGCGGGGAAGGTTTGGTGGTTAAAGTTTGGCGGAGAAGGTTTGGTGGTTAAGGTTTGGTGGGGAAGGTTTGGTGCTTAAGGTTTGGTGGGGAAGGTCTGGTGGTTAAGGTTTGGTGGGGAAGGTCTGGTGGTTAAGGTTTGGTGGGGAAGGTCTGGTGGTTAAAGTTTGGTGGGGATGGTTTGGTGGGGAAGGTCTGGTGGTTAAAGTTTGGTGGTTAAAATTTAGTGGGGATGGTTTGGTGGGGAAGGTCTGGTGGTTAAAGTTTGGTGGGGAAGGTCTGGTGGGGAAGGTTTGGTGGTTAAGGTTTGGTGGGGAATGTTTGTCTGTTAGCTGGTGACACAAAGGTGTGCAATAGGGTTGATATTCCTGGAGGTTTTGGCATGATTAGTGATTGCTGGAAGACCAGATCTGTGGAAACGGCACTTCCATGCTTCTAAATGCAAAATACTGACATTGGGGGAAATCCTCTGATTACATTACTGAGGAACTACAGAGGGAGAGATATGGGGTCATTATTTCAGATGATTGTAAAATGAGCAAATAGTGTGAAAATGCAATTCTGGGGTGCATCACTAGAGGGATCTCCAGCAGGAGGAAGGAGGTCCTGATCCCTCTATATAGATCTTTATTATCACTAGAGGGATCCCCAGCAGGAGGAATGATGAGATAGAAGGACTCCAGAGATGGACTACAACGGTGAAAGGTCTGAGGAGTTAAAACATATCAGGAGAGACTGCAGGAACTTCATATGGAGGAGAGAAGGGAAAGGATGGACATGACTGGAACCTTTTATTACATGAAGGGTGTGATAAGGGGACATGACCTCAAACTAGAAGGAGGAAAGTTCTGAACTAATTGTAGAATCTTTTATGTTGCTGAAAGAGTAGTGAGTCAGTCAACAGTAAAGGAATTTAAACTTGATTGGAGCAAACATAGATGAACCCTCACCCCCCTCCTCCAAAAAAAAGTCAGAGTACCCCTTTTTCAGGTTTAGTATTTGTAGCTTTGGCCCCGACAAAAGAGACGTTTGCGAATGCAGCGGATCCATATGTGGCAACAAGCGTGTCCCCCTGTCACCGATGACAGAAGCGATTCGGTGTTCAGCATAAGAGCGTCTGCGCCTCCGGTCGGGAGAGGCAAAGCTGCTCCGGAGGAATGCCGATGTGCCAAGACAAACTCAAATCTTCGTTTTTCGTTTTGCCCTTTCCGCACCCGTAACGTGCAGGAAATGTGTTTTTCGTAGCGATCCGGCCAACCCTGATAGGCAGCGAGGACGACGGCTGGATAATAAGGAACGTTTCAGCAGAAAAGGCCGTCGCTTGGTTCCCAAAGAGAAATGTCTTCTTTTTTTTTTCTCTCCTGTCTCTGCCTAAGAAAATCAATTTCCTTTTGAAAGCTTAATGCTCGGTTTAACACTCGAGGCTCCGGGGCCTCCGAGCGGCATTTCTGCTTCGGTCTCCTTGGATTTAGGACAATTGGCTGGCGGGCTCGGGGGAAAGACAATAGCATTCGCTTCCAGTGCGACCGTCGCCCCGGTCTTAGAAGAGGCAGCGACGGCGATGCCGTGCCTCGGTCGGGACCCTTCCTTCACGTAGAAGGGGTCATTAGTCGTTGTCACGGAGGGGAGCCTTTCCTGGTCGCCGCGGCGCCGAGGCAGTTAAGTTATCTTACCTTGCGTCTTTAGCTGTTGTCGATGGAGGCGTTAAACGGAGGTAATGAGGTCACCGGCACGCCGGGGGGTCCACATTACCAATCGCGTCCTTTTATTGACGTGAGATAAACACGATATCCCAAGAAGATCACAACGTTTCGCAACCGGTGAGGTCCCTTCGTCGGGCGACACCGAAACACAGTGCGTGGCTTTTTTTTTTTCCCGCAGGGTGCAAAATGTGTCCCTGCTCAAGGATAATACTGGCCATTGCCATGCCGGTGTCGTTGTAACTCAACCGCAGTGATAACCAAAAAAAAAAACTCAACGCTGTTCGTATGCAATTATTTTTTTATTATGATGTAATTAAATGAAATTAACAAAAATGTGCCAGCCCTGGATGATGTGACAACAGCTCTCTCAACAGATTGTGAAGACGTTGAATTTCCATCGGCAAGAGTTAATCCCTTTTCTCTCTTTGCTTTCCAGATTGGAGCGTGCGGCCACACGGGGGCGTCTGAGACAAGCAGACCAGGACTGGACTCGTTTTTCCACCAAGCCTCATAAACTGCTTTTTTTTCTCCTCCTGCTGTACCTGTTATGTCCAAGATCTGGCCCCTGCTTGACAATTACTTTGAATTCCAAAGGACCAGAGACCTAGGATGAGGAGCGCTGAATCTTCCCACCACTTGCTTTTCACGTTGTCGCTTTTTTTCGCCTGGACGGCGGCCAGCCTGGACTTCGGACACAGTTCCTGCACCACTCAAGTGCAGGGGGAATTTTACGGCTATTTCTCCTCTTTGTCTCTCTTTCCCTTGAACTCTTCGCTGTGCGCTTGGATTATCCAGAACCCGGACCCCAGGAGGTACACGCTGTACGTCAAAGTCTCCAAGCCGGCAGGTATATGCGACCACCAGCAGATCAGGACCTCTCAGTTTGACTCTTTCCTGGAGTCCACGCGGACGTACTTGGGGATGGAGAGTTTCGACGACGTCTTGAAACTCTGCGACAGCTCCATCCAATATGCCTTCCTACAGTCCAACAAGCAGTTCCTCCAAATGAAGCAGACCTTGCCCAAAAAGGAAGACCATCAGCTACAATGGAAGACCGGCCAGCCTCAGGAGACCGACTTCTCCCTGGAATATCTGGTTTTGGGCAACCGCAACCCCAGGAAAGCGGCTTGCCAGATCCTCTGTAAGTGGCTTGATACCTGCCTCAGCAGCAGTAGCAGCTTTCACCCTTGTGGCATCATGCAAACCCCTTGCTCCTGCCACGAAGGGGAGGTTCAGTCTCAACCGAACGAGGTGACGGACTACACCAAGAAGAAGGACGAGTGCTACAAAGATGGGATTTACCTGGAGAACTGCATGAGCAGCTCGAGAGATAACAGTGCTGGAGAGTTTCAGGGTGAGTGCCAACTGCATGAAACTTACTGCATGAAACTTTTCTTCGGACAATGTCTGTCTTTGTTGGTTCTGCTCGGTCCTTTTTTTGTTTTTTGGTTTTATTTCGGCTCTTTGTGAGTTAACAATGAGGGTTATGTCATGAGCATCCGTACTGTTCTGCATAACAAATGCCCCTCCTGCGCTGCCTCCGCATCCGCTCCCCTCATTATGTGGCTGTATAAGCTGGAACAAGCTCCCCTTGCCCGTGCTCGAGGAGATGTCAATATTGGATAGGTCATAGCGAGAAAGAACTAGAGGAAGAAAGAGAGAGAGAGAGAGAGCCGTGCCGCTCACTCTCGCAGTCTCTCCTGGGATTTGGTGTGAGGCTCGCTGCATTTTCCACTTGAAATAACAAGAAAAAGGTTTCCCAAGTCACCAGAGGGGGAAAAAAAATTGAGATGCCTAAAGTCTTCTCTGGTGGCTTTCTGTTGGCTTTTTTTTTTTAACTTCCCTTAAAGCTGTCCAGTGGTCTAGAGATGACTGTTAACTGATTGAGTTATACCCAGGGGTGTATCTACCGCAAGGCAAACTAGGCTGTACAGCCCACCTGATGCCATGCACAGCTCTCCTAAGATCCTGTATAGCCCACCTGAGACCCTGCACATCTCTCCTAAGATCCTGTACAGCCCACCTGAGACCCTGCACAGCTCTCCTAAGATCCTGTACAGCCCACCTGAGACCCTGCACAGCTCTCCTAAGATCCTGTACAGCCCACCTGAGACCCTGCACAGCTCTCCTGAGCCCCCGCTGTATCCAGTGACTAACAGGTTGCGCAAAATGTCCTAAACAGGAAGGGGCGGGGCAAATTTAGATTGAGGGTGGTGCCCGAGTTTAGTCTTGCCTAGGGCAGCACAAAACCAAAATACACCCCTGGTTATACCCAATGTCTGTGGGTGCCAAAGTTCATCCCTGGTTGACCGGCCTTAATAGTAAGGCTGGGTTCACACCTAGGCGTATTGAATATGCGCGTTTGTCGTGCGGTTCGCGTTGCGTGTTTTTGCAGCGATTCGCGGTAAAAAAAAACGCGCGACAACCGCGCGTTTCCGTGGGCTACTTGGCTGTATCCCAATGGAAACGCGCGACCAAAACGCCTCAAAGAAGTACACGTACTTCTTTGGGCGTGGGCCGTTTTGTATCGCGCTCGGACGGGCGGAAATAGGGCAAGGTGTGAAACAGACCCATTGAATACAATGGGATTTAGATGTTTGAGCGTTTTGTCGAGCGTTCGTCGAGCGTAGAACGCGCTACAAAACGTTCAGGTGTGAACCAGGCCTAAAGGTCCAATGGACAGCTTAGAAAATCCTGAGCGACTATTTCCCCCAAAGATAGGCCAGCACCAAATCTGTCCAGCTAAAGTCCCAATCATACCACCCAACTGTTGTAGGCACCCATAAGAGCTCAAGCATTGGAGTGCTTGCATTGCTTCCAGGGTCCTGCTTGCTAGAGGTTTCTTCTGATTGGTGTGTGACTGGGGCGTGTCATTTTCCTGAGCATTCAGGAGCTGAAAGTTGCCCCACTCGGAGAGTTGGGAGGTATGCCCCCTTCACCTCTCTACAGGTATAAACATGTATGTTGAAGTTATTATTATTGTACAGGATTTATAGAGCGCCAACAGTTTGCGCAGCGCTGTACAATATAAGGAAGACATTACAATACAATTCAAGACAAGATGGTAAGGAGGGCCCTGCCCCTGAGGGCTTACACTCTAAAAGGGGAGGGGCCAGTGACACATGAGGAGTGAGCTGTGTGGGGATGAATGGTTGAGCGGTTAGGTTGAGGTGGGATCGGCTTCCCTGAAGAGATGAGTGTTAAGGGATCGCCTAACGGCAGTCAAGGTGGGAGATAGACTGACAGGTTGGGGTAAAGAGTTCCAGCGGATGGGAGAAGTGATCCTAACATTCATACATCTGTCCTAAGCATGCAAAAATGAGATCTTTCCAAGTCTGATCACCTTTTAAGATCCACCCTTAACCTGGGAAGCTGACAATCTCACCAGCATGGCTGCCCCATTCAGTCTTCATGGCCACGAGTACAGGTGGGAGAGCCTTTGAAATTGTAATCCTTAAATTTTGTGGACCTGATTCCTTAGGTTGGGTCATAGGTCACCTGTAACATGCTAAAAAGACACCGCTGGTTGAGGGGCCACTTTGGCATGCCTTAAACGCACTTTAAATGTGATGAATTTGGCCTTTGCGTCCGTTTCTTCGACGTTTATCACAAACCCGGCCCTCAGAAATGTGGTGACGTGGGTGAGTTAGGTGGTCTGCTTATTCTCCTCTGCCTTGTATAAGGGGGAGGAGCAACTGACATTTTCAACAAATTGCTTCCTCTTCTGGATCACGAGCACTAAAGAAAGTGAGTAGGCCCCGGACGGGCGTCAGTCCAAACCGACTGATCACTAACCATGGTCCTCCCACATGTTCAGGATTCCTATAATAATTACACACACGCTCATGTGACTGCTCAGCCCATCTGCTGCGCACATTTTATGTTAACAGTATTGGCCATACATGGTGTATATAGGGGGCCAGATTTGGCAGCTCCGGGTTTTGGTGGCCGCCATTGGCTCCTGTATTGTGCAAGGTCTGATAGAGGCTGATAATATAAGGCTGCACGTACAGTACTTCCAGGTGTGACCATGATTATAGGCAACTGGTACATGGTACAATGGTTGTAGGAGGATTCCCTATGTGTGTCATGTCTTATTTCCAGCTCAGACTAGGATAGGGAGAGACAGCATTGGGGGCCTCGCTTGCAAATGTGCTGACAAGGAACATGCTGATAGGAAGAGAGAGCAGACTGAGCAGAGAGATGACCTCATCGGCTTACTGCTGCTCTCTCATTCTCCCACTAGAAGGCTGAAGGTTGCCACCAATGTATTCCGTAACTGAAACAGAGAACGTGTTTTCATCTGCCTGGGTATGCTGTGTGACAGAGCTACATAAATGTTACTTACATCTGACCCCTGCACTCTGTGCACTACACATTCCTGACACCTGCACTCTGTGCTTTAGTCACTCCTGACCCCTGCACTCTGTGCTTTAGTCACTCCTGACCCCTGCACTCTGTGCTTTAGTCACTCCTGACCCCTGCACTCCATATGCTACACATTGCTGACCCCTGCGCCCTATCTGCTACATGTCCCTGACCCCTGCACTCTGTGCTTTAGTCACTCCTGAACCCCTGCACTCCATGTGCTACACATTGCTGACACCTGTGCCCTATCTGCTACATGTCCCTGACCCCTGCACTCTGTGCTTTAGTCACTCCTGAACCCCTGCACTCCATGTGCTACACATTGCTGACACCTGTGCCCTATCTGCTACATGTTCCTGACCCCTGCACTCTGTGTATTAGACACTGCTGACCCCTGCAATATGTGTGCTACAAAATTCTGACCCACTGCACTCTGTGTATTAAACACTGCTGACCCCCTGCACTCTGTGTGCTACACATTCCTGACCCCTGCACTATGTGTGATACACATTCCTGACCCCTGCACTTTGTGCATTACACTCTCCTGACCCCTGTACTCTGTTTGCTACACATTGCTGACCCCTGTGCCCTGTCTGCTACATGTTCCTGACCCCTGCACTCTGTGTATTAGACACTGCTGACCTCTGCAATGTGTGTGCTACAAAATTCTGACCCCTGCACTCTGTGTATTAAACACCGCTGACCCCCTGCACTCTGTGTGCTACACATTCCTGACCCCTGCACTATGTGTGATACACATTCCTGACCCCTGCACTTTGTGCATTACACTCTCCTGACCCCTGCACTCTGTATGCTACACATTTCTGACCCCTGAATTCTGTGCATTATGCTCTCCTGACCCCTGCACTCTGTGTATTATATACCGCTGACTCCTGCACTATGTGTGCTAAAAATTTCTGACCCCTGCACTCTATGTGCTCTGTATGCTACACATTCCTGACCCCTGCACACTGTGTATTAGGCACCACTGACACCTGCACCATGTGTGCTACAAAATTCTGACCCCTGCACTCTTTGTATTAAACACCGCTGACCCCCTGCACTATGTGTGCTACACATTCCCGACCACTGCACTCTGTGTATTAGGCACCACTGACACCTGCACCATGTGCGCTACAAAATTCTGACCCCTGCACTCTTTGTATTAAACACCGCTGACCCCCTGCACTATGTGTGATACACATTCCTGACCCCTGCACTTTGTGCATTACACTCTCCTGACCCCTGCACTCTGTACATTATGCAGAGTAGTCTCAGGTATATTACACATATACACATTTAAGTCCCTCCCACCACTACATCCACCGCCATTGCTCTTCTCGGTCTCCAAGGCGGTTTCACAACCTTAGCAACACCCCTAAGTCCTCCACAATCTTGCACTGCTGGAGCTTCACATACACGGCGATTGTCTCTCAGGTGGGTTTAATATGTACCGTGCAACCATACTGATTTTTTTGTGATTTTTTTTGTGGGCGTGGCTACAAATGTGAGAGTGATTTTGTGGGTGTGGTTAAAAGGGGCTGTAGCCAGTATTGCAATTTGAAAATCTGGTAGCCTTACCCTATATCCCACGAAGAACGATGGCTTGTTTTGCCCCTTACCGTCTACATCTTTTTAGGCTTCAGAACCATTGGTATGGCACTCCTGTCTGCCCTGTACCACCTAGGGCACCATTGTTGTTTGTGGGCACCCAGCACTGGATCTCATCCCAACCCCATTGCTTTATAGCTATTCCTCTGCAGTGGTTCTCAAGTAGGGCAACTGGAAATCTTTCAGTAAGTTACATAGTTACATAGTATTCGAGGTTGAAGAAAGACACAAGTCCATCAAGTTCAATCCAT